ATCCTCAAACCCAAAGCCCTGACATCGCTGGCGGCGGAGCCTCCAAAATCGGAGATTTGGCTACTTTTTGCATTTTCCACCCGTCGTTTCTTTCTGTTATTATTGTAATTTTGTGCGAAAGGAAGTTATGAACAACTGCAAGTCAGGAAGTGGAAATCCACACCGGTTGTGACAAGCTGGGGCTAAAAACTATTTCATTATTTATATAGATGTGTCTATCAACATTCTGCTTTTCATCCAAAGAATAAAGGGAAATACCGGCTAGTCCTATGTTTGACGGTGAATGACAGACTGCATCTGAGGAAAGGAAGGACTAAATATATCGGCTAAGAACACCACCGTTATTTATTGAACTCAAGAGACCTTTTTTTTTTTAACCCAAAGACTGTTTGAGCGAGAGATTTAATGGGTCATTAAAAGGGGAAAAAAAAAAATATTTTAAAGGCCCTTTTGCTTCTGAAGTGCAGCTAACCTCAAAATAGGAGCAGTACTTGTAAGACAGATACTCAAATTAAGGCTTTGCACGATGAATTTTCTATCCTATGGATATCAGTTTTGAGATTACAAAGCAAGAAGATCTGTAATTGATCTAGCACCAGATAATTTCAATGCCTAATATTCCCCAGGATTGCTGGAGTACCCTCGGAGCTGCGTCGGACTGTATTCGGGGTATGCCATGGGCTGTATTCAGAGTATTAGCTGCAAATCCAAAGTTTTCCGGGAGAGTATTTCAGTGATTGAAGTCAAAGCCTCCATCGATCCCATTCCCACCAGCATCGACGAGTCCTCCAGCGTGGTCCTGCGCTACCGGACCCCTCACTTCCGAGCCTCTGCGCAAGTGTTGGTGCCCCCTATTCCCAAGAAGGAGACCTGGATCGTGGGCTGGATCCAGGCGTGCAGCCACATGGAATTTTACAATCACTACGGGGAGCAGGGAATGTAAGTATTTCCAAAAGCGCGTGCGAGGGGGTGCGGGTGCGTTTGCCTGGCAGGAAGAAAGAGCGGGAGGACCATGGCCTGGCTGGGAAATACTGGATTAAGCCAAAAATTACAATCCAGTTGGTTTGATTTTAAACCCCAGCTCTTCTGAAACTTAACAGGACTTTCTCACAGGTTTAGAATACAGGAGAGCTTGTCCCTGCCCTTTTAAAGGAGTAGGTGTTCTCTTCTAATGGGAACGTGCCCGAGCCCTAGCCAAAACCGACTTGGTTCTGTTCGGAACCCAAAAGCAATACTGCATTTCACAACAGCTTTTGAGCAGCACTGGAGACCTTGAAATCCTGGGTCAGCCCTGCCGCGGCAGGCACCCCTGGTTCGAAAGGCGTTTGACAGGAGGGGTTCCCCTCTCTTCACCATCCCTCCCCATCCCTTTTGGGGTAAAACTGTGCATTGATGAGCCCTGGGGAATCCCGAGGGCTGGCACTTGTGGCACGGTGCCGTCCCCAGCACGCTGTCCTGCTGCTGCAGTGGGCCACGGCTGCGAGCTCCATAGCCCACCAGCTCTGGGAGCAGACTTTAATGTCACAGGAGGAATCCTGCTTGCCTTGCCCACGGTAGCAGGCAGCCCACAGGGGAAGAACAAGTTGGGTTTAACCCACTGATAATTCACCTTGGAGCAGGGTGAAAATTTCACATTACCCTCCTTATGGGTAATGTAAGCATGGGAATATATAGGTATATATATGTAAGGTAGGGGGAACCTAGGGGCTGGTTGTGCACCAACCGCCCCCTCCCCCCCCCGCCCCGGTTACTGGTCAGACAGTCATAGTGAGACAGGTACGAGTCAAATGAAAATGTCACCTCCCTACTGTGAAAAGTCATCTCTCCCCAGTCCCCCACCAGTTTGTTCACCAACCATCGTTGCAGGCTTTGCAACAGCACCTGATCTCCGAATGCCTGCACAGAACAGCAATTCTGCAACTCACGGCACTGGGCAGCACCGGGTGCAGCCTCCCAGTGCAGCAGAAATCTGTCTGTCCAGCCACGGGGACAAAACCTGACCGCAGAGCCCGGTGCTGGCAGAAGGTTTGGTGGCTGGAAGTGCTGATGCTGCCTGGTCTCCAGGGCCAAGGGAGAAAGGATGGGAAGGTCAGGTTTAAGCAACCCTTCCATCTGCTCATCTCAAGTGCCCTGTGTCAGGGGGATGCCAGCTCAGCCCCGCAAGGGTCATTCCGGGTGGCTTAAAAAATGGTGAATGAGGAAGGCTGAGGGAGGATGGGAACACAGAGTAGGGCTGGAGAGCAGGACAAACTCCAACTTAATGCAGCGCCTTCCTGAAGGCCTGAACATCTGCACGTGCCCCCCCGGCCCTTCCTCCCTCCCTCCCTTCTGCCTCTAAGCCCAGATGAGGACACGGGTTCAGCATCTCGGCCATAAAGCAAATACGCATTGTGAGATGTGGACCGGAGGGAAGGGCGTGCTGAGAAGCAGCCGTGACACTGTCCCCCCCTGCTTCTGTCCCCATGTCCCCTCTCCGCTCAAGCAGAAAGTGCCTGGAGAAGCAAACCAGCACCTGGTGAACACCAGCGGTGAAGCTCAGCGAGGGGGCAGACCAGCTTACCTTGGTATTAGAAGTAGCTACAACAGGCCTGAAGTCTGTAGGCTTTTTGGCTCCAACAGCACCTTTATCAAGGACAATTTGTTGCTCAGATGTTCCCAATTCCAAGCCTTTGGGATTTGCATGTGTAATTCTCAGGGTCATTTAGAAATCCTGTGTTTAGTGACCAGCTGCAAAAGAAAACAGAAAAGTCCAGGGTATAGAAATACAGCTCACATCCACTGAAATAAAAAGGACTGGGCAGAGAGCTATTCTGCCAGCGCTGCTGTGGGCTGCAGACCTCAGCGTGTCCTTTTATTTCTCTGCACCTGAGTTTCCCTGTGTTTAAAATGGGGATTTAGTACAGTCTTCCCTTGCTGGAATGCTTCAAGACAAAAAAAGTTATATCTGCAAGCTAAGTGCTGTAAACAGGTAGTCAGGATTAGACACCACGGCTATGTAGGAGAGCTATTAGCCAGAAAATCATGGAAACAAAGATTTTTTTCCCTAGGACGTTCATTGATGTTTAACTGATATAAGAAAGAAAAAAAAAGTTACCCAAACATAAGCAGGAATTGGTCTGCTCCTCCACTCTCTTTCTATAGATCCGCTGCCATCTGAAAGCTATAAATAAAGGCATTTGGGAGGAAAGGCCTCTTTTAATGCCGTTGAAAAATGCTCCTGGAAGACCTTTATAGAGAGAGAGACAGGACACAAACCTGTCTGAAAGAATGGGCCAAGCCTTTAGCTGGCGTAACTCAACATAATCCCTCTGACCTCCACGGAGCTGCATTGATTTATGCCAACAGAGTATTTGTCCCAACTTTCCATGATGAAGAGAGTATTGCAACGTACGTATTTTTAATCACTGTAGTGACAGGCAAACAGAAAACTCCAAATAATAAAAAAAAAAATAAATAAATCAGTCGGTCAATTGGAACATCAATACTTACAGCAGGCTTCGGATTAATTTTTCACTTGTACACTCCGAAGTTGTTAGCCTTGTATAAGCTGGCCATTATGTTGAGGATAGAAACAGCCGAGAAATACTGGAGCAGATGGAGCTGTGCATAACGCTCCTATAGGGATGTTAGCTACAGAGGGGATAATTTCAAACACACGCGTTTAAAGCGGCACTGACAATTTTGGGGCTAAATGCAGCGTTTTTAAATGTGAAGGAAAATAATTAAAGCTCAGATAACACGTAAATGCTGGCATTACTCTACATGTAAGTCAGAAGATGCTGCTGGGAACATGAAAAAGCCCAGCACAAGGATGTACTCTCTGACCCCCCCCTCCGCTCGGTGCAGAACTGGGGCGCGCTCCCGTTCAGCCCCACGGCTGGTGGTACTGCTCCCCCCAGCAGGGTTTTACCCCATACCCTTAGGGAAGGACGTCGGTGTGCAGTGGGAGGCATCAGGATCAGGCTGCAGAGCCCTGACCTCTGCAGGACAGGCTGGACCAGGACCCCGCTGGCATCTCCTGGGGTGGGTGCTGGTTTCTGCCCCGGGGTGTGCAGCACCCGGTGGGACCCGTGTCAGCGGCTGGGCCATGCCAGAATGGCATCATCCAGCCCTGTTTCTTCATCTCCATGGAGATGTGCAAGAAGCGGTGCAGATGGAGATATGCAAAACAGAGAGATAAATAAATCAGAGTTTAAATATGATCAGCCAAGAATTTGGGGAAGTTTCAGGTAGATATTTCTCCCCAGGAGGACCTGGTGGGGCAGCGGGGCAGCATTACATCATTGCTTTACCTTGCTGGGCATCTCTCTCTTGCGAGATTAAATCTTCCGTGCCCTGCAGCAGAGACACAATGAACTCGAGAAATCGACTTGTCAAGAGAATAAACTCCCAGACCTTGGGAGGGAAAACACAATCAAAAACAGATTCACCAAAGGAAAAAAAGGTTATGCTTTCCATGGGAAGTCAGTTCACCATGGGAATTTGCTGAGATATCCCTCCAGGGGTTTAGAGGAAAAGGCTTCGCTGCCCTTACGTGGCTGGTGGCCCTTACCTGCGCTGTAAGCAAGGCCGTAGCCCAGTTACATAGCTTGTCCAGGCTGCTTGAGCCTGCTCAGCTAAACCAGCAGAAGTCCGCCCCTTTTGCTTAATGCTAGTTCTCTCCTAGTTTTACTCCCCGCACCAGTGTGCACCGAACATCGCTGCCGGTTCAAGCAACGAGGCAGGAACGTGCAGCCGGAGGATGGGGGGAAAAGGGACCACGGCAGCGTGGCTCTGACAGCCGGGGAGCAACAGCTTAGATTTCCTTCCTGTTCTTTGCTATAACCCCGGCTTGAATTGCTTGACGTGCCGGAGTAGGCGAGAGACGCACTGTAAAGGACAATTTAAAATTAAGCAGCTCTGAATATCGAGTTTTTCTTTCTTTCAGCCAGTCCGCAGCGCAGGCGCAGCGGCAGAGGGAGGCAGGTAGGAGCAGGGATGTGGAATACCCACGACGGCTTTTCACTGCGCCCACACATTGCACGGGCACCTGCACCCAGCACGGTCTGCGTCTGAGCGGGGCTTCTCTTATTTAGGAAGCTGGTGGAAAGCACGAGGTTACACAAGTCCATCGGGCCTGTGACTAATTAAGGGCTGGCTTTAAGGAATTGGGGCTGAGGATGCAATAGCGCCCGATGCCTCGCTGAAAAGGTTAACGGAATATACCCATGTCGCTGCTGGACGCACAGGGCTGGAGGCTGCTGTGCTTGGATTTGCTGTCGCTGCGCAGGCCACGGCAGCGATTGCTTGGGTTTGTGCTGTGGGGCAGCCATCTGGAGGGCTCGGGATAAGCTGGGGACTTCATTTCATGTGACAGAGTAGGAAGAAACATATCTGAATGAGAACTAGGAGGCTAAAACCTCCGTAAAGCTGCTTGGCTCTCAGCAGCAAGGCTACAGTTGTGCCACAAGAAATAGCTCAAAGATCCTTCTCCTGGTACCAAGATGACATTTGTTAAGGAAGGCTTGTTGGCAGCGCCAGTCTCTGGTGGTGCCCATACCGACTCCGATGGTTTCAGAAGCAACAGGAACAAGTTTGTCAGTATTACAAGCCAGAATCTACTGATTTTGGAGCGGATCAGCTATAGTGAACCCATGAAACCAGATCGGTTGGTTTCTTCTCGTGCCTCTTCCCTGCTATTGTCAGAAAAGTGTTTACTGGGCACTTTCTGGTCTTCCCTTGGCTCGACACCACCACAGAAAGATGCTGATGCAGCCAGAGATCATTCCACAGCGTTCTTTCCAATATCATCCAAAAAAGAGATTGTTGGCATATTATTTAACACGCTATACCAGCAAAGGCTACCGACCTGGCTGGCACACAGGCTTTGCCGTAGCAGCAGGCAAGGGGCAGCCACCACCAGCAGCGACAGTCATGCAGCATCTGCTTTTGCTCCAGTCATGGGATCATCATACGGCCTCATTTGTCATCTCGTTACTAAGCTGCACAGATAAGGCGTGATGGTTTTGAAACCCCAGGGTTAACCACATTCGCTAGAATTAGGCACAGCGTGCTCCACAAAGAAACACAGGCCAGGCTCTTCTTCCCCGTTCCTGCCCACGCCTTTTCTTAAGCGGGGTGCGCTTCTGAGCTGCCCCGGGCGCAGCCAGGCTGCTGACGAACACGCTCAGCGTTGCGGTGGGGATTCTCAGGCTCTGCAGGCACCATCCTGCCGTCAGTGACCTGCCCGGGCCCTGGCACAGCTCCGCCTTTTTGCTCTCATTTGAACCCTGGGCAAATCCCAGAGGGTCCTGCAATTCTGCACTGGTCTAGGGTCAGATAACGTCTACTGGGAATGAAGATGGGGACAAGCAGTTGGCCTGCAATTTCTGAGCATCCTCTGCCCACCACCAGCCTCTGATCCGAGTTGGCTGGAGCAGCCCCGGGGGTTGTCAGCCTCTGATAGCACCTCAGGTCCCAGGGTTTGGCACCTCCACACCCGCAGAGATGCTGTGGTTGCACCGTAGCATCACGCCTGTCAGAGAGAGAACCGCCAGGAAATTGTCACGACTCCTCCCCGGGTGACAGCCAAGCTGGGTAACCGGCGGAAAGTAATCCTAAACCATCTGCCGAAGGGGAGAGGAAGAGCCCCCAGATGGTGTTCCAGAGCCGGGCTGTGCGGCGGGGAGGAGGTGGGGGGCTGCAGAGCACGACCTCCGCTCCTCCGCCCGCCGAGGGCTGAGTGATCCAGCATCCCCGGAGCTTTTCCCTGCTCAGCTCTCCGTGCAGAGCGTGGGGGATGCTGAGCCAGGACGACTCCGATTTAGAGAGCAGAGCGTATAAACATCTTTCAGGTGGCCGGGGGGTCCTGGCAGGACTGCTCAGGGATCTCCTTTTGGCTGCCTTCACTAAAAATTTTCTTCCAGGGAAAGGACTCCCTCTGCCTGCTGGCTCTGAGCTCAGGAGGGACGATTGCTGCAGCCGCCCTGCTGTAGCTGACAGCAGCCCGTAAATCTGCGGGGAGATGTCGCGCTTGCATAACCCCCGGCTGCTGCTAAGCCCCTGGTCCTGCTGCTCAGAGCATCCCTGCATCCCCCGGAGCAGCCCACGTCCTGCCTTGCTCTTAACCTCCCAGGTTCCTGCCAGGCTGCCCAACCTGCAAACCGGCCGCCCCCTGCACGGTGCGGCCCTGCGTCCAACCATGGCATGGGGGAGATTTTTGCTAGGATCCACACTCAGAAGGGGAAAAAAAAAAAAAAGGAAAATCTTTCCCCCCCCCCAGTATCTTCTGGCTACAGCCAGACATTTACAGCAAACTGCTGAACGATCCAGTGGTTACAAACATGGAGGCACTTCGCGGTCATTAACTAATTAACAATCAGAACAGCCTTGTGACACAGTCACGTTAGTCCTGGCCAGCGGAGAGGAGCAGCTCATCCCAAAGCTGCGTCAGAGCTGGCCGGGCCCGACGCGTGCCCCACCGCCCGCCCGCGGCCCCCGCTTCAGCCAAGGGGCTATTTTTAAGCTGCAGCCCCGGTCGTATGAAAGGCTTGGCCAGTTCC